GCTCGTCCAGAGGCTGGTGACTGGCTGTGGTCTCTTGGGCCAGTGAAAAGAGGTTTTTTGGTGCCCTTGGCGAGCAGTTGCTGCTGTGCTGTTTTTTAGCTAAAAGAAGCTCTTACTTTCTGGGTGTGTGTCCAGACTGCATTGCACAAGCCCACACCCGCCACCCGTCCCCTCCTGCTGTGGGCGCTGCTCTGGGCGTCCCATCCCGCAGATGCCAAAATTGCTGCCGGCGTGTGAGGTGGGAGGAGAAGCAGCGGTACAAAAACCCCTTTCTGCTGGCTGCCACTTGGCTTTATCCCCAACTTCGCTTGGGTGGGCTCCCGCAGGAGCCTGCCCTGGTCACTCCCCTACCCCAGCACGTGGGGCTGCCCATGGCAGCTATGCTAGCGCTGCTTGGTAAGCATTTACCGGGGCAATAGCTCCCCAGTTTCATTCCACCCATGTCTAACTTCTTAGCAGAGGATCTGCATTCCTTCATGCTGGTGCCTGGCCCCCTGTCAAGAGCTCCTGCAGGCAGCTGGGAGCTGCTCCTTATGGGCTGCCAGGGGATTTGTGCTCTAACAGCTGGGTGCTGACAGCTCCCTGCAACCACTCGCTCCACCTGCCGGGCTCTCCTCTCCTCGGTCAGATGGCGGAGGATGCTCTGACCACCGTGGGGAGGGGGCTGGCTCCTTTTTGTCCCCCCACCAGATGTTTGTGACGGCGCTGAAGGGTTGCGGTACCCATTGCCTTGGTGGGGCTGATAAAGCTCTGGGGATGATGGTGGTGCAAGCGGAGGGTCCCCAGGCTGGAAGAGCCCCCAGAGGGTGATGCTCTGGGATGGGGATAGGCAGAGAGGAGGCCTGGGTGTCCCCCAGGGCAAGTCTGGTTTCAGGTCCAAGGGAGCCTGGGGTAGGACGCCCCTATTATCTGGGAGAGCTGGAGCAAGTGCTGACACCCCATGGGGCTCTTTCTCCAGCGGCTCTGGGGCCTCCCGTGCTTTCTCCTAGCTGAAACATCGCCTCTCTTCTCTGTTTGATGCAGGGCTCCTCTGTTTCTCCATGGACCGCACACGGCGGCTGGGGGGGGATCCTGCGGGCTCCCTGGTGCCCAGCCCCATCCCAGCAGGGGGCTGTGGCAGCCACTGCCAAGGGACTGGCCTGTCGCCCCGCCAGCATGGAGCAACTCGTGGCCTGCTGTCTTGTATGGCTTTTTATTCCTATGTGATTATACATCCCACTTCATATAGGGATTGAAGCCGTGCAGTACTCCAGGGTCCTACGGCGGAGAACAGCCCCTGTGCCACAGGATCTGGCCTTGGAGGAGCTACCAAAGCTATCCCCCAGGGTGCTGGAGGAGGGCTGCTGGCCTCAGCCTAGGTTCTGTCCTGCATCCCGGGCTCCCCAGCCCTCTCGGGGGGCAGATGAGGGATGCCAAGCTGCTTTGGGGTGAAGCCGGCACAAGCCCTCTCCTTGCATTGCATCCCTTTCAAGGGTGGGCCTGATTCCAGCTGTGCTGGGGGGCTCATCCCTGGGGAGACCCCTGCCTTGCTTTTGCCCTCCACTGTCCTGGGAGATGGGCGACAGCCTCTGGCAGCATCTGGGAGGAGGCACTGGAAGGAGGCACTACCGGCAGGACAGGGGAGGAGGAGGAGGAAGAAGAAGAGGAGGAGAAAGGAGCTGGGGAACAGCCACGGCAGCAAGGGCTGCCCAAGCATGACGCTCTTCAAAGTTTCTCAAGAGGCCTCAGCCACTCTTTCAAGGTTTGCGTTAAATCTGTCACATTAGCGAAAATACTGAAAATTACCCAGCTTGTGGAAGAGATGAAAGGCAGCCCCCTTCTGATCCCTCCATAAAGGAAGGGCCCCATTAACACCTAGTGAAATATTAGCCATTAATCAGGCTCCGTGCAAAATAAAACCATCCACATTTATCATTATTGGATCCTTAATGAAGTGATAATGGGAATGCTGGGGAGCTGTGATATTAATGTCTCCTAAGAGGCAAGAGTAGAGCCAAGGGCAGCAGCCAAGATTTTTAATTTACTGCCAAAACCTTGCGCTGTTAATAACGCAGTTACTTCTCCTGGCCATTAGCACTGTTTGGCTACAAGCAGCCCGCTTAGGAGAGCAAATCGACCCCGAATGCACCCGGGCTTTGCTTGCCTGCTCCCTGCCCAGTGGCTGGGTGTGCTTTTCCCAACATCTGTCCCTGTGTCCCCTACCCACGTACAGGGATGTGGCCAGGGAGCTGTTGGCCATCTCCACCCATTTCCCTCCTTCCTGGAGGCTGGCTGTTTTGCTTTTCCAATAAAAAGGGAATGGACTGGGAGCGTCAAAACCAAGCAGCTCTTATTGTCCTCACTCTTTCTATGACTTGTCTTGTTAGGTGCAAGCACCCTAGAGCCAGGATGGTGCAGAGCTGGTCCTAGCGTGGCCCACACACTGGGATCACTTGGTGTGACCACAGACACACTGGATTTCTTCATTTGCCTGGGTAAGCTCACAGGATGCTAATATCCCATCCAGGACAGTGCGGGCAAGCTGCAAAGCCCTGCTCAGCTGTGGTGACTCACTCAATCCCCATGGGAAAATCATCGCTCCTGGCAGGCTCCAACAGCCCAGAGGCAAATCGTTACTTGGCAGGTAAGCAATGCTGTTGCATCTTTAGATGCAACTGTTATCTCACAAATCCTTGCAAAACCCGACCAGTGCAGCCCAAATGTATGCTGGCTCATGTGTGGGGTCTTTTGCTGTCAGTGAAGGCACTGCAGGTCAGAGGGAGCTGGCTTTGGGCTGGAGCAGTAACAGGCAATTCTGTACTGAGCATTGTCCAGAGGAATAAAACAATGCCTTGTTTGTAAGGGGTGCACACACTCCAGAGCTCCTTTCCTCCCTAGGTAGAAGATGCGCAAGGTCCACCCAAGCAATCCCTCGGAAATGGAGCTTTGATCTATCCAGGCAGAAGCATCAGAAGAGGAAAAGTGTTTCTGTAACCTGGGTGTCCTTGGTCAACCTCCCCCTGTCCTGTTATCTCCTCATTAGAAAAGAAGGGACAAGAACAAAAACCGTATATGGAGGCCAAGCAAATATAGATGTGAAGTGCACTTCAAACAGCTCCATCCTTTCAACAAACTTTTTATTAGCATTCTCTCCTCCCCAGCACAAACTCTTTTAAATCATTAGTGAAAAGCCACTCTTTAGAAAGCAAGGACACTGCTCAGGGTACGTGTGGTAGGCATTTCCCAGGAGAAGCCAGTGAGCGCTAGCCCAAGGTCTTCCGAACTTGACTGCAACACAGCATGAGCAGCAGCTCCAAGGACTAGCACGGCGCTCAGCAGTGTGGCAGTCTGTGGGCAGAGCCCAGGGGTATGGTGGGCCTGTGACAGCATGCCCAGGCTGCTGAAGATGCCAGCGACCCTTCTGCCAGGCACCCCAGCCCAAAACTGGAGTCACTCTGGATTTCACTGGAGCGGAATCGGACAGGAAGCATTAACAACATTTTGGAGCCAGCTTTAGCCAATTATCCTGGCCGCAGCCCATACTTTTTGGCTGTATCACTGCGCGTGTTAGTGCCCCTGCAGTGCTGGCATGCCGGGCGTGGAGGAGGCGACCTGCCAGCGACCTGCTAGCGACCTCCCAAGAAAAATGCACGGCACAAAGCAGCTTCTCCTGCGCAACTGCCACCTGACATTACGGGGGCACCGCGAGCTTTGTAACGCTTGGCAGGTTTTCCCAAGCAGATCTCAAAGCTGTTTGCCAGCATGAGCAAGTTCAGGCATGTTACAGAAGACCTTCAGACTCAGAGGACAAATGAGATGCGTGGATGAGTTTAAACCACTGGGGTAAGACCAGGGTTTTGAAATCCCCAGGCTTGTGCCTTGACACTACGCCTGGGCTGTGGCCCAGACAGTCCAGCTGCCAGCCTGGCATCAATACCGGGCCCCGTGACGGTCCTGCTGATATCACTTCTTGTTAGATATTGGCTTCAAAACCAAAGCAGGAGGTGTTGCATCCTCCTCAAAAATCCACCCTCCGATCCATCTTGGAGCTGGGCGCAGAACAGCTGTTCAGTGAGACACCACGACTCATGGTGTTGGCAGGACGGTGTATTTATGTCACGAGATGAGATCAGCCACACAGAGTAGGTCGGTCTGTCTGGAAAGAGTCTGAGTCAAGCGTGTCCTATTAAATTAGGGCTGGATTTTCAAAGTAGCTCAGCTCCCATTTAGGCTCTGTAACAAACAGGCAGATATTCAAAAGGAGTTGGACGTGTTGGGTCATACTGGCTGCTGAGCTGAAGTCCTTTAATATCTAGCCAAAACCATCACCGTGCCTGTTGCTACAGGCAGAGCCCTTCTGAAAACCAGCTCCACTGTGGGCTCCACATCCTGGGAAACTCGGCTCATCTCTGCTCTCCCACATATTGCACTGCAGTAGGTGACGAAACTGCAATAACCACTGCATCCTCACACATGCTGGGGAGCAGCTCCCTGTCAAAGCACAGCTCTGGCAGCTCTGCCCTTTGATCAGCTCAGCAGCATGGGTCAGGAGAGCTGAGCGTGAAGGTTTCCTTGCCTTTTGTTCTGTGGAATTAGCAGAGTTAATCAGAGTGACAGTGACTTCTGCCTCAGCGTAGAAGAAAGGTCAGTGGCTCAGGCTGGATGCACGACTGTTTTCTGGGCAGCTGGAAAACAACACCCTGAAAGCTCACAGCATACACACTGCTGGCATAGAAGGTCTCCTGACAGGGATCAGCAGGGAAGATGTCCCTGTGGAGGGAAGGAGGCTGGAGGAGAAGGACTCCACTCAGCTAGCTTGCCACTGCACCTCAATCATCCCCCTTCTTATGCTGCACAGTGGATGTTTACCACCCTCTGTGTCACTGTCACTATGCGCTGCTTTTGTGTCACGCATCCAGTATCAAGTGCGTCTCAGCCAACGTGCTCTTTAGCCACGCTGCTGGGTGTGCATCATGCTGGTCTTGGGGTCCCTATGTCGCCTCGGGTACCCTGGTGTGGTAGGAGCTGCAGGGCACTGCACTGGTGTGTGGAGCAGGTGCTGGGTGTCCCCTTCCCACTGCGTTCCCCCAGCACCTCCATGCCTCCAGCTGGGCAGGCCTTGCTATTGGTTTTACATCCTTCAGTCACTGTAATGCACTCCTGTGAACCTGCAAAAGCCTGCTGCTGAGCTGCTCTTGAGCTGGGGTCACTGGGGGTGCAACAGCCGCAGTGAGGGCTCTCCCTGGCAGCCCTACCATGGTCTCTATTTCCCCACATCTTTTAACTATAGTTGAAGCAGTCACAAGTGTGGTGGCTCTCAGAAGAAGCGTTAAATATGTCCTTCACGTCTGTAATGTGACCTCTTTCTTACCTTCCTCTGATCCCAATTACAAGTGCTTGCTTTTGCTGTGGACATCCACTCGTGTCTAATTAGTGGATTCTTTCTGTCAAAGGTATTAGCACCCTTGACAGCGAGCCCTAATTTAAGTAGTTTGTATTTGACTGCAGTGTTGATGACTTCATTTACCCCTGCTCCTAATTAAATGCATCTGGATATCTGCAGAGGGAGCTCTCATGATCTCTCTGTGGCTCTAATTAAAATGGTCTGGATGTCCATGACATTGGTGCCTGTCAAACCTGTCACCAGGAGGTGATGCCCACCTTGGAACTGGCTGAAGAATGTATAGGAGTCATTGTTGCTGAGAAAGGCCTCCACATCAAGGCCCTCCTGCAGCGCCTCATCCACCAGCTCCGGGCTGCAGAAGGCCCCTGCCGCCTCTGTCGGCCCATCCTGCCCATCCGTTCCCCCGCTGAGGAAGACAATCTCACACCTGCCTGGGGTGCTGCTGGTCTCCATGGCCTGTGCCCTGTGCAGCCCCAGCCCCACACGAAGGGCCAGCTCCTGGTTCCTCCCTCCCTTGCCAGTACCTTGGAGCTGAACTGTGGTTTCTCCACCGGCCAGGATGCAGACTGGTCTTTCAGGCCCTAATCCTCGCAGGGCACGTAGAAACTCGGCAAGGTTCAAACCTGGAATCTCTAGCTCTGCGGCCAGCTGCAGGAGATTCCCCCTCACCTTGTCACTCAGGGGTCCCTCTCCAAGGCCGGCAAAGCCCAGGCAGACCAGCCGGATCAGCTGGCAGTACAGCGTGGCGATGCGGCTGACTTCACCACAGATTGCTGTGCTTAGAATCAGAGTGGCATAGCCCAGGCCCTCAGCTTGGTGTTTGGCCTCGTCTAAAGCCAGTGTGTTTGATCCGATGATGATGTTGCAAACGTGGGAGTAGTCTTCTGGAGCAGTGGGCTTGGAGGGAGAGCTGGACAGGACCGTTTCCACTGACTTGGGCAGGTTGAGCAGCAGGTTGTATTTGGTGAGTATCTGAAGGCAGTCTTGGACACTGTGGGAGCTGGCAGCAGTGGGCCCACTTGCTATGATGTCCAGGTGATCACCAATAACATCAGAAAGGATGAGGCTCACCACCTACAAAAAGAAACACCCATGGATTATCGTGGGAGGCAGAGACAGGTGACCGCAGAAGAGCCCCGGCGTAAGTGCTGCTCTGAGTTACACTTGTGCCACCCTCATGTCAAAGCAGATGGAAATGGGGCAGATCTTGGCCCATTTTTGTTTTACAGTCCTGTGAGTGTCACCTTGTCCTTCTTGAACCTACAGGTCTACAATGTCCTTTGATGCTGGACCATCACGTTGGAAGATGTAACCCGTGACACTGCACTTGTCACGAGGCTGATAACCTAGTGTGGGTTCAGTGATGGCACATGCTGAGAACCGTCCCCAGGGGAGCCAAGGGTCAGACCCAGCCTCGAAAGCACTGTGATGGAGCACCAGCACGTTGGAAGTGCCTGCTGGGTGAGGGCTGAGGTCTGGTGAGAGTGGTGTGATGGGATGGCTGATGTTTGCCAAGTCTGAATTCCCTCTCTTCCATCTGTCTCCCTGAGAGTTTGGGTCCTCAGTGAAATCTAAGCCACAGAGTCCCAAAACACTGTTGCAAAGGTTGTTCAGCGATGAAAAAACCCTGCAAGCACACTCAGGTCAGTTAATTAAACCCCTATTTTGAGGGCAGATGGGTGATCTCTGGGCAAGCAGGGGCTTCCCCTTGGTTACCTGTGCAGGGTATGCGAGCCGGGCTAGCCCTCCACCCTTCAGCAAGGACAGAGTCTTCCGGACAATATTCAGCTCCTGTATGGCAGCTCCTCTGGAAGCCAGCATCTTTATGAGTTTCTCCTTCTCTTCAAGGAGGATGGGAGGGATGGGAGCAGGCAGTAGGGCTGATCCACCCCCTAGGATGCAGAAGAGATGGCAAGGACATCAGGACAGCAGGAAAAGGAGGACAGTCTTCACCAATGGGTTTTAATCACTGCTGACCTGCACTGTCTGCAGTCAGCTACACTTCACCTGGGCAGCGTAAACCTCACGGGACCAGGGTACCATGTGCCTGCAGGGTTGCGGGGATCACAAAGAAGGGCCAGCAATTATTATCCCCACTACCTGAGGCTACTAGTGTGTCATCAACACTGATTTTCAAGGGCTATCTGGATGGGTGAGGAGGGAGCATGGCCTCCATGACTCGCACAGCAGTCAGCGCTAAGCAGATGGAGACACTGCCTGCTTTGCTGCCTCCATTTATTCAGGATAGTGTAAAAACACCAGCTATGGCTGCAGCAAGATTGGAAACTGCTGAACTGCACTCATCTAGGCCTGGGAGGAAAGGAAAGGAGAGAGTAATGCAAAGGACAAAGCATGCCCAGAGTCCAGGGTGTTAGCCTCATCAATGGAAATCCTGTCTGATACAAGTGGGCATTAGAAATGTGGAAAAGAAGGCAAAGAAAAAAGGTTCTAATGGAAAAGTGGAATGGATGGAAAATACAGAGTAGAAAGGAGCAAGATCTGAGCAGAGAGTGAATGTGCACAGAAGTACAGCTGAAAGCTACTGTCAAAAGGCAAAGCCTGCTCAGAGGTTTGAGACAAATCAGCATCAATAAAACATGATGAGCAAGAAAAACAAATGCAAATGCCTGTGTTTCAGTCAATAGCCAGGGATCTAGCTGAGAGGCAGGAGCAGTTGGGGACCGGCTGCTATGTGGGAGTGCACATGCATAGGGAGTCACAGCCACGGGGAGATCCTGTACAGGCTCCCTGAAGGGCTGAGGAGTCTCTTGGAGATCCCCGTAGCCAAAGGACAGGAGGAAGCCCAAGGGAATCCCTAGCAAGCAGCTAGATTCCAGTTGCTTGAGTGTTTACCTAACGGCACTACTCTCTCTGCACCAGATCAGGCTCCAGCACCCATAGAGGAACAATCGCTGAGCAGAGGAGACCAAGGGAGCCGCTCCAAACCCCTGCACGCTTCTGCCCTGTGACACCCACTCACCCAGCTGAGCTCAGGCTGGGGTGACATCACTGCATCCCTCTGATGCACAATATCCTCCTTCCTTACACAACCCTGGTTCTGGGGACAGTCCGGGGGCCCAGCAGCCAGCACCTAGGGGTGTTCAGGGCTGACCCTGCAAGGCATGCAGCTCACTGTTGGAACCTGGGGGCCTCATTTCCACTGGTCGGGAAGCAGCAAAGCCCTGGGACCAGTCAGTCCAAAATCTCAGTTTACAGACTCATGCCCCTGCACAAATTTGGAGTATGCAAGTCCACCAACAGATTGCTTCTCCAAGTCTGCATCCTGAAATGTATGGAGGAGCAGGAAGAAAGCGACTCCTTGCCAAGGGGTGAGAGCAGCTAGCAGGCTGTGCCCAGAAGTGCCATCTCAGTGGTGGCACAACCGCAGCACCCGGCCTGTGCAGCTCAGCCTCTCCCCAGTGCTGGGAGGCAGCGTGTCCACTGTGCCCTCCCCTGTTGCATCCCTGGAGAAAGGCTGGCACGAGAAGGGAGAGGAAAAATCACAGAGGTGCAAGTGTCAGTGCTGAAAGGGCTGGCACGGCACAGTGTCTCCCCTGCGGCGTGGCCATGTGTGGGCAGGCATCTAGAGGGCCATCAGCAGAGCCCATTCCCTGGGATCCCCATGCTACCTGAGATGAGCACAAGGAGCAGGTCATCTGCAGTCAGGCCCTCAGCCAGCTCCTGTATGGCAACTGCTCCCTTCAGAGCCTCTGAGTCTGGGAGGTTGTTCTTGGCACCTTCGATGACCTGGATTTTGCTGTGTGGCTTCAGGAGCATCTCCCTGGTGAGGTAAGAAAGGCCATCACACCACTGATGTGTACCTACACAGGAAGTCAGGCTGTCACTCAGCAGGGAAATGGGCCTGGTGCACCAGAGGTGCACGGTGAGTGACCAGGACAGGGAGGTGGCTGAGTGTCTCTTCCCCAGGGCTGGGGAGGGAGCGCATCCAGTGCAAGAGACAGGCTGTGTCACTGGTGCCACCGGGACATGATGGTGGCTGAAGACCAGGGTGGTGTGGTGGACGGGGTGGGCACCAGAGTGAGGGCAGCTGGAAAGGACTGAAGGGGTTCACAGCAACATTCCACAGAGGACAAATCTGGCAGCCTACCCCCCCAAGCTGTCCACACACAGTCCCCCTTACTGCATTCCTGCTCGCTGCAGGCTCTCCTGAATGCCTAGTGGCACACTGATGATCCCCCGAATGAGGTGGTCTCCCAGGACCTCTTCTGCTGCCGCAGCCATCCCCAGCACAGCTTTGCCAAAACCCACCAGGTACAGGTCCCTCTTCACTGGAAAGGCCTGGCCCTTCACCACCAGCTGAGGGCACCTGTCTCCTTGGAGCTTCACAGCCCTCTTCAGCATCGGAGCTGGCTGGACGGTGCCCACCGCACTGCGGAATAGGGACAGTGCATGCTCACGGAGGGACATGCTGCACAGGGTGGCTGGGCTGACTCAATCTACTTGGTGGGGTGGGCTTGTACGCACTCTGCTGACACTGGCAAGTCCTTGAGAGCTGGGGCAGCTGGCACCCTCAAACCTGCAAGGGAAAGTGAACACTAGCAGAAGAGACAGGGCTGTCATAGGGAGAGTATGGAGGCCAAAAGATGAACCATGGAGAGCTCTAGTTCCTGTTTCCTCTACATGAAGGTACCATATCAGCAGCATTTTCAAACCTCTGCCCAGGCAGGAGGGTGGGAAGGACAGTGTCACATTCAAACTACCTGTCAGCTTGTGGTTCCTCTGCAATCCCATCACCTCCCGTAGGGAAGGTGAACCCTGCCACCCAGCTTTGCTATCACTGTAGATTTGCCACTGGCAAGCCATCATTTCTATTTGCTCAGCATTTGATGCCTTTCCAAACTGTGGAAGCTGCTCTCTGTCCTGGAGAGAGCAGGGTGTCTGGGTGGAACAGCTTTTCACTACATTAACTCCCTTCCTTGTGCTAGCCAAATGCTGATCTCATTCTCTGGCTGCACATTGCCCCATGTCCCTGCAGCATCAGGCACAGACTTAGGAGAAACAACAGGCTTGCTGGCTGCCTGATCCCTTGCTGCTGGTGGCCACAGAGAGACCAGTAATGAGGTTTCTCCACCAAACAGCAAATTAACACAAGGCTTCATTTGCCTTTGTTTTTTCAGTCCTCTCATTATCCATTAAAATCACATTTAGAGCCCAAATAAGACTTCAGATCTGGGCAAAATTGCCAGCCATGTCTGTGAAAGCCCAACTGAGGTAGTCTCCACTGAGTATTAGCATTATATGCAACAGATCTGCGTGTGGACTGCAAGATCTCAACTGCTCAAGGGCAGACACTTGTCTTGACAGAGGAAAAGCAGCCCCTGCCAGCACACATGCATCTATTCCCTCCTAGCATTTCTCCTTCCTTCTGTTAACTGGCAGCAAGTTCACTGCTGGTTTCTCAGGATCAAAGATCCTTGTGATCTGCGTCTCTCCTGCTCATGGCAATTATGGTGCAGGCAATTCAGACAGGGTGCCAGGAGGCGGAAACAGCCTGGGCAACACCCTCGATCACAGACCCATTCAAATTACCTGAGGGAGTTAATCCTCTCTCTAAAATGGATGTGTTTCAGTGCAAGGCCAGCGGCTGGCTTCTTCTGGGAGAGTTCACAAGTCCAGAGGTCTCTTTGTCCTAACACTCCCATAGCATTGCAAGGTGTTAATCATTAAGCCAGACAAGCTTTCCAACAGCTCCTCTGGGTCTAAATCTGCCTTATTTTGCTGCAAGGACCCAAAGACTCTGTGAAAACCTCTACACAACCACCTTCTTAGGCAATGAAACTTGGACACACTCCGAAATCTATCGGACAAGGGATTTGCAGGTAAAACTATACGGAGAATCATAGGTTTGCCAGAGAAAAAAATCCAAGAATCATTTAAGTTGGGAAATAGCCTTAAGATCATTGAGTCTAACCGTAAATGATTCAATGCTTAGGAGAAACAGATTTTAAAGGCAAAACCGAAGGCAGATAAACTACCTGTCTGTACTCCCTTTAGATCCTGGTCAGAAGGACTGCCTTTTCAATCAGGAGGAGAGAGAAGAACAAAAGACAGTGTGTCCTGACCACTTTGTTACTAGACTCTTAACCTTCATGGCAGCTAATGCTGCCAGCAGTTTAAACCACTGAGCCTCAGCCCTCTTACAATGAGGGCCAGAGTAACTGTGCTAACACCAGTGAAGTCAGCTGTACACCTCTCAGGAACTGAGATTAGCATCTCTGTTCCCAGCAGGTCTCTGATTCACCTGGCAGCATGGCGCAATCAGAGGAAGGTGTTACAAAACAGAGGTGCATCATGCCCCAGGTCGCCTCATCTGAGCTGCAATACAGGGTTTGCAGAAGTGGTTGAAGAAAAAGGCTTAAATGGAGCCAGGGGAGTTTAAGAAAATAAAGCCCCAAAGCTTTTAACAGGCTCTGTCTCTGCTGTGATGTTTCTGTGCACGGCTGACCCTAAAGACCTAGGGGAATTGAGCACAACCAGACCTGCAACTGTGGCTTCTGTCACACGTGCCCTCCCAGCGGCTCCGTTCAGCTCCAACTCCAGACACGACACAGCAGGCGCGAGTTGTTTAAAAGCAATCCTCTCCTACTGGAGCTGAAAAAAATAAATGCCAGCTTAAATCATCTGGCACTTGTGTACATACTGCTAATGCTTGCTCTGGAAAGCATTTCGCTACAATAGCAGGCATGTAATCTGTTTTCTGCACTCTGAACTCAGATTATATTTTAACCATTGAGGCCTGATCCAGAGTCTGTTGAAGTCAGCACACGTCTTTCCATTGCTTCTGAGGATTTTAGGGCACGCTGCCTGACACTGATCACAGTGCACGGGTGTAAACGCAGAGTAAATCCAGTGTAAAACCCCCTTGCACTCAGAGGTTATCCAACTTTACACCAACGCAACATAGAGCTGAATTTGGCACAGACCCATTAGCTTTGGAGGTCTTGGTGTGTAACTCTACTCCTTGTCAGCTCTGATTAGACACGCAGGCTCACTGGAGGCTCCCCTTGGAATGGGGGTGCTGCTAATGATGCCACAAATCCATTTTTATGTAATTTATTTATACAGTCTCAGGCACTGGGTACTAAATATCATCAGGGAACAGCTATAAATCAGTGCTATGAAATCCACTGTAGATATTAACAAAAAATAAAACTCCTACTCATTTTACTAGGGCTTTAAAAACAAGATCAAGAGAACTGAACATCACCCCACACCAAGGCATAGGCAGCCTTGGAAAGAAAAATAATCCAAATGGCAGCTCTCAGACTACCTCCATGAATGGTGGGTCTAGAAATGATGTAATTGCCAGTTAGCTGCTGTGTATTGCATGTGGGGAAATTACATCCTCACATCCCTGCATTTTCCCACTGCTGGCTGGGAGGAATCTGGGCTGGGAGAAGGGGCTGATGATGTGACTCATACTGCTTCACGCACTAATCTTTGTTCCCCAGATTCTCAGGGAAATCACATAGGGATGAACGAGCCCTCTTCTACATGGATGTAAGGCAACATGCTATAGGCACTAGTGGGGCTCAGGTTTTACACCTTCCCTTTGTCCCTGCTCGGGATGATTTGGAGTTGGGGTATAGACAGTTTTTTGAAAAGTTTTCTAGACGTTCGCACTAAGCTTAGGAGGAAAATGATGCTAAGAATTGCCTGTTCTAAAGAGAGCAGGAGGACTGTAAGGGGTTTAGATTAATCCCCTTTAAATGAAAGCTTCCTCAGCTTTCATTGATGAATAATGTTCACCCTCTACATACTTGTTTGCCTGCATTACCACTATAAGCTCTTTCTTCATAGGGCTCCCCCTAAGTCTGCAGAAATTTCCACTGTTAACTCTCACAACAAAAAGCAGCAGAACCCCAGCTCCTCATTTTCCCCTTCTCTGGGAAAGAGAGGAGCTGGACTGTGATAAAATACAGGCAAAGCACTCGTTTGCATTACCTTTCATTAACTTTTTAATTAAAGCAATTCTGCAGGCAAGGAGCCAAAGTCAGAGGGAGACAGAAACAATCCAGCACTAGGGGCAGAAATGTGGTAAGCTGCCAGGTAAATTGGATGGTGGCATGAGACCAAAAGCATGGACATTGGGGGGCATAGTCTGAGCCATAAACTAGGAGTCACACTGGGGAGGAAAACAGTGAACAAATGAGCCGGCCATGCCCGTGCAGTGAGAAAAATGAGCCAGCACCTTGCTCCATGGCGGGTACTTGAAAACCAGAAAAATATTGCCTTCTAGGGGCCAGTCTGCCATTGCTGGGCAGAGCTGAGCTATTCCAGGTGCTGTGGTTGGAGGTTTGTTCAAGGGTTTGCCTCACAGGTTTGTGGTTTTCTTGAAGTTGGGGCAATTGGGCTTGTTGCAGGGCAACCCAATCACACATCCTGAGCGTTTCAGGTGCTGCAAGATTGGAGGATACTGTATATTAATGCTCTGGGATGGCTAATTTAACTGAGATCTTCAGGGGCCTAAGTTAGTGTATTTTTAATGTCATCGGGACTTCTCTGGATTTCTCCCAGTGTGGCAGTGATTGGTGGCTGGCCCACCGTGTACAGGGTCAACTCCAAAATCCCTGAGGGGCCTGGAAAAAATTTGAGATGGCACTGGATCAAACCCCAATTGTTCGAGGATAATTTTGAGCTCAAGCTTTAAAAGACAGATTACATCTTTGTTACAGCAGTAAACTACCAGACACAGCAAGTTTCAGCAGTGTCTCTTGCTACTCATTTTTCTTGCTACATGACTTTCTTCTGGCCTCTTGGTACGTAAATTACCGTTAGACTCACCGAGGCTTACCGCTTCTATTTTTCATGCATTACCATGGGAGTCTACCTACGAAGTACAACAGAGTGGAGATTTTACTGCCTTAAACTCCCATGTTCCCACTTACTGACACATCTTTTCTATCACTTGATATATCAAATTTAATTTGCCTGGTGAGCCCTGCTCAAACTCAAACTTGCTGCTCCAGATGGTCCCAAAAGCATTACAAGAAAATTTTCCAGGAGATGCACTGAACCCAGGAGGAAAACAAAGCAGTGAAGGTTTGTTCCAAGTGACTATTCTGGGAGGATTAGATGGGGGATTTTTCAAGACTAATCTCTTTAAATGAAAATTTCAGAATTTGATTAATTTTCTAATCTGCACATGGATTTGCATAAAATTACTGCACTGCCTCATTCACATTTTGTAAAAGAGAAAATGTCTGCAGCCAGGATGGACCAACTCATCACTGGTCAGCTGTGAAGGGTCCAGTACACAAGTGGGTGTGCAGGGACAGGGTGAAAGGTCATTTTGCCCTTGGTCAATGTGGTGCTCCTGCATCCATAACTGGGAAAGAGGGTGATGGTGGACAGAAGCAGTAAGATGAGACCAGAGATGCACAGAGGGTTTGCCAGGCAGGCAAGGGAGAAAGTAGGATGGAGTCTGAATACCTTTGTTTCAAGAATATGCTGAGCTCTGGGAAACCCAGGAGTCCTAATTTCCAATACACAGCTTTCTGTATGTTCCTTGGAAAAGAAATATGTTGCTCTCATGACTGATTTACTCACCAGGAAAGTGTCAACAGGGTCTCTTTGCCTTTGATGGGGAATGTAGCCTAAGGCCAAACACAGGGAAGATAAGTGTTCTGTTCAGCATTTTATATATATAGATCAGTATCATTAGTAAAAAAATTAACTGGATTTGACATATGCATCTTACTAGTTTTTCTAGGTCACACTCCCTTCACTCCCTATATACCTTTTGGAAATGATTTTCCCATGCACTGGGGATTGCAGGGAAGAAAAATTTTTCACTAAAAAATCCTTCTGTAGCTCAACGCAGAACAGTACTACCCTGAAGCCAAGTCCATGCCAAGTCTACTTCCTTTCATGCTGTAATTTCTCAAACTCCCTATTCTGAGTCAACTTGCAATCAAAGTTGAGAGTCATTTAAAATACAGAGAAGGGTCATAGTATTCTAGAGAAGATGAAAAGTTGCCAGCCTTGAGGACTGGAATAATAGAAAGGGGTCGAAATTCAGTATTGCAAAATACAAGGTCATGCTCTTTGGGATTAATAGCAAAAAATTATGAGCTCCTCAGCTGGAAATAACATAAGAGGAGAAAGAGCCAGGAATATTAATCAGTCACAGGATGACAATTACGGCTGCCCCCTAGGCTGAGACAAGAGGCTACAGGGAAAGCGGAAAGTGGCAGATGTAATCTACCTTGACTTTAGTGAGGTTTTTGACACCATTCTCATGAGCATGCTGAAGAAGTGTGGGCTGGGCAAACACACTGCTAAAAACCAGCTTGACCACTGGGCTCAGAGAGTAGGTATCAGTGGCTCAGGGTCTAGTTGACAGCTGGCAATGAACAGGGACTCTGTTGGGGTTCACGTTGCCGCATGGCTTCATTCAGTGACCTGGAGAGTAGCACAGAGTGCCTAACTTGGGGGAAGTGCTGACACACCAAAAGGTGGAGCCACCTTCCAGAGGAACTGTGATAAACTCAACGTCAGGGCCAACAAAAGCCTCATGACGCTCACCAAGGAGACGTGTGAAGCTGTGCTGCTGGGGCAGGATGCCCGTGCATCAGGGTGAGCTGGGAACCAAGTGGTGCAACCAACTAAGGAGCAATCTAACAGCAGCTACCACTACTTGAAGGGTGGTTATAAAGACAGCGGAGATGAAACCTTCTTGGTAGTGGCAGAAAGTATAAGGAGCAATTGCCACAATTTGCAAATCAGGACGTTTGCGCTGGACATTAGCAAAAGTTCTTTATAGAGAGGGTCGCACAGCACAGTATCAGGCCACTCAGAGAAGCCGTGGTCTCCACACTAAGTGGTTTTCAGGATTTGGCTAGACAAAGCCGTGGCCAAGCAGATCTTGTGCTGGTGATGGTCCTGAACTGAGCAGGAGCACAGAGCAGGCAGTTCCAGAGGTCCCCTCTCCCCACGCTTCTGTGATTCCATGTTGTAACAGCAGGGACAGGGTTCAATGCTCCAGAGCATCATGCTTAGTTTCAAGAGCCCATAAAGAGATGCCAAGTTGTAGGATGCAAGTTCTCCACACCTCCACAAGCCTTCAGTCATAACCGTTACCCACAGAGAATCATCACTCCCAGCAGAGTCCAATAGAAATATACTCACCTGAGCAGTGCTGTTTCCAGAAGCATCTCTCTGAAATTCACATCCACCCATCTGAGCAAGCACAGGTCTGTCTGTATTGTGCAGGTTACGGTGGTATCTAATACAGAAATGCATAGGTAGAATGACTACATTGGATCAATATTACTCAACCAGCAATTAAACATTTTTTCCATTAACTAGTTTTGCAGGGGCATTATCCATAATTCCTACTTAATATGACATCTTGCTAGGAGACCCAATTATCCTGCCAGATAAATTCCAGCTTGGTATAAACTGACAAACTAAGTTCCAATGATTAGGAAGAAAAGCAGAAGAAAGAATAAAAAGGGAGTGACAAAATATCAAATCAACAACCCACGGTGTTATACAACTCTAAAACTTAGCTAAGTATTGTAGGTGTTTTGAAGTAAATTGTCTTATGATGGCATTGGTGAGTCACCTTCAGGGCCCACATGAGATAAGCCAGGCTTTGATCATGCAATTTACAGTGTGCAAGAGGCCTGCCATTCTGCACTTCTCTAAAATCTCTCATCACACAAAAATCCATTGTAGATTTTGAACTGACCTACAGTGGGGTAGCTGACCCTGAGATCCTCGGAAGTAATGAAGGCATCTTTTGTCGAGTCTCCCTAGACTCCGGTGTGAAAATCTTGTCTCCGTTTCAAAGTAAAAATCGGTGAATCATTCTGATGAGCCAATCCCATCACAGCATGGAACAGTGAAATGTGTTAGATATCTAAACCTGTAACGGTGAACTCTACTAAGCAAACAGTAAAAGCAAGTAATCTGAGAAAAGACTTTTGTTTCACTAAATCGTATATGCACATAAAATAATTAAGCACGTTTGAATGACGTGCAAGCAGATCTTTGACAATAGTTCCCGGACTTACTGTTGTTTGACCACAGGAGGGCAATATTATTCTAAAAGCAAAATCAAACTGTACTGGAGACTATGAAAGGAAAATGCAATTAACATTTATGAAGGCACCTACAGTTTATGTTTTTTTCTTTTGATTCTGAGTTTCTGGGGGACTGAAATGACAAAAGATCTGGTGTTCTTCTAAAGTTAAAATAGTGGGGTGCTGGAAATCTTCGGGGTGGGGGGGTAGAGATTCTCACAGCTACTGTTACACTCCAGGAGTAACTTTTTTGAAGTAAAGAGATATACAGAAAAATGAACACAGAGCCTGACATCACGATAGAAGAAATTAACAGCTCCAAGGTGTCTGTATTGGAGCACCAGCCTCAAAAGCCAAGGCATCGTTTTCTCAAAGGTTACTAAAGGGTGTGCTGCTCATCTTTATCCGACGCCTTACATGGTTTACGACTGTAGTGCTGTGGCTGTGGTGTTCCTCTAGTACTGCTCGGAGGCCAGTTTTTAGAAAAATAAAAAATACCGGGAAATAAAAATGTGTAATAACTGAACTGAAAGCAGGGGAAAAAAAGAATGAGAAAGAGATCATTGTGTATTTCAAAGGAGCGGGGCCTGGCCCTGGCCTCGTAGCGGGTATAGATACAGGCGGGAACGAACCCAGCCGTTACGGAGCAGCCCCCGGGGAGGGACCCCCCCCGCCTTGTCACTGCGGGTCCCCTACGGGACCCGCCGGGAGGCCGCTCGCCCCCTAAATGCCGCTTTCTCGCTAGTTGCCACGGCAAACGCGGAAAAATACGTTAAATCCCATATCGGGCATAGTATGCGCAGCGTAAAGCTCGCCCGGGGGTCCCTGGAAGCCGCGGGAGCGCGCAGGCCCGGCGAGGGGGGAGCGCGGCTTCACCTCACGTCCCTCGAGAGACGCGGGACGGCCCCGGCCCTGCCCGGTACCGGAAGTGACGCCCCCCCAGCGGCGCGAAGCCGTTGCCCGCTCTACGGGATGGCGTCACGCCCTCAACCCGCCTTCCCCCCACCCCGCGGGGGCACGGCTGGGTGGGTAATGACGGCCCCGCCGCAGCCGCCCGGCCCTGCGGTCGCCCCTTCCCACCTCGGGCCCCGCGAGGGGCGGGGACGCCGGCAGCCACCGCGGGCCGGGGGAGGGCAGGCCTTCCTGCCACACTCAACATGGCCGCCAGGCACGGGCCGCCCTCCCCCATCCCAGCAGGCCGCGCGCAC